AAAACTCACCAGAGTCTGATATCAATACATGTGTCCAGATCATGGAATCTAATGAGTTTTTGTATGCCAAATGGTTATTGTTATGAATGATTTATATGTGATAACATCTCTATATTTGTTTTATGATTGCTCTTTTTGCGCATTAGGTTACCCTTTGCTCTGTGTTTGTTTTGTTTGTGTGTTCTCTTTGTTTGCAATGATCACCTTAATGGTGTGAGTAGATGAGGATGTAGCAGTTGATCTAGTGCAGGACGAGGGTGGTATAGTTGTATAGTTTTGGGTTTACCTTGTTGTGTATAATCTTCTTTTTGACAAACTCTGGTTCTGTTAGTTTAGTTATATGACTATATGTATGTAATAATACTTGTATGGATAAATGTAATATAGTAGTTATATGTTAGTCTTCTCTGCTTAGTGATTATCATATGTATAATATTTTGTTTAGTAGTTTTACACTACTAAATGGGATGTTGCATTTTTTGTATTAGAGCAGTTGTTCCTTTGAAAACCCTGTAGGTTTAGGCGTGCTTAGTTTTTGTTGTGTGTTCTTGGTTATGTTTGGCTAATATGTCAGTTTCTTTGAGTTAGACTAATTGTTTTTATCTGTGTGGGCAGAGTCATGGCACCTAGGCCACCTCCTCCTCCCCTTACAACCTTAGATATGCCCAACCTGACTAGGGCAATCGAGTCTGTGGCAGTAGCCCTTCAGCAATAGAGTGATGCCATGATGCAACAACACCAAATGGCCCTGCAACATATGGAAGCTACTAGGCTATGTTTTGAGACGACTCAACAATGTCATCTGGATGCATTGAGGCAGTTGGAGGAGAATAGGACATCAATTGGTTCTTAGCATGTTCCACCTCCACAAGTTGAATAATGGAGTTTGGAGAACTTTCTACAACATCATCCATCAAAGTTTTATGGGAAGACAAGCCCAGATGGGGCAGATCAATGGTTAAGTGATATGGAGAGAATATTTGATGCCAAGAGGTGTCAGCGAAGAACAGGTTGACCTATTCCGAGTATCAACTCTCTGGAAAAGCGGTACATTGGTGGGCTAATATGGAGGCTAATGTTAGAAGAAGGCGGGGAGAACATCACCTGGGAGTTGTTTAAAAGGAACTTCTATGCTGAATACTTCCCTAATAGTGTGAGATATGCTAAAGCGGTGGAGTTCTTGCAACTGGTGCAAGGAAGCATGTTAGTGACAAAGTATACAGATAAGTTCAAGCATCTGAGGTGTTTCTATACCTTGCCCATGGATGAAGAATGGAGGTGTAGGAAATTTGAGAATGGGTCAAGAGTTGACATGAAGATGGTGATACTGCCACTCTCTATTAAGGAGTTTCCTGCTTTAATAGAGAGAGCCAGAGTGGTGGAAAAGTTGAAGGTTGAGATTCAAGTTCAACAGAAGCAACCATAAAGAGTGGAAGGACCATTTAGGTCAAGAGCGAGACAGGATGAGAGGAAGAAACCTTACTCTAGACCTGATAGTGTGAGATATGCTAAAGAGGTGGAGTTCTTACAACTGGTGCAGGGAAGCATGTCAGTGACGGAGTATGCAGATAAGTTGAAGCATTTGGGACATATTTATACCTTGACCATGAATGAAGAATGGAGGTGTAGAAATTTTGAGAATGGGTTGAGAGCTAACATGAAGATGGTGATAGTGCCACTCTATTAAGGAGTTTCCTGCTTTAATAGAGAAAGCCAAAGTGGTGGAAAAGTTGAAGGCTGAGATTGAAGTTCAGCAGAAACAACCATAGAGAGTGAAAGGACCATCTAGGTCAAAAGATGGACAGGATGAGAGGAAGAAACCTTACTCTAGACCTCAGCCTTAAGGGTTAAGAGGGAGTTCTTCCCAGCAACAGTTTTAGCAGAGCAGGGTTCAGTGTTATGTTTGTAAAGGACCGCATCTAAGGAGCGTTGTCCTAAGATGGCTGGTTATAAGAGATGTAACCATTCTGGTGGAGAGGGACTTTGCTAAGGATTGTCCTTCTAGCATAAGTGTTGTAGCTCAACCTCAGTAGACATCTCAATAGAAGAAGAGGGGTGACAAACCTCAGGCTACAAGGAGGGTGTATGCTATGTCTGGAGTAGAGGAAGTTTGATCAGGTAACCTTATTGTAAGCAGTTGTGTGATAGCCAGTAGGAATCTTAGTGTTTTGTATGATTCTTGAGAGACACACTTCTTTGTGTCAGAAGCTTCTGTTTAAGAGTTGAGTTTACTTGTGGGAGAGCTACAGTATGATCTTATGGTATCTACTCTAGCCTCTGGTTTGATTAAGACTCGCTGGGCGAAGTTGAAGTCAGAGGGCTACTGACTTGGTAGTTGTTGGGCGAGAATATACTCGTTGAGCGAGACGAAAGTCAGAGAGCTCACTGACTTGACAATCCCTAGGCAAGAATATACTCGCTGAGAGAAGTCAAAGTAAGAGAATTACTAACTCGGTGGTCGTTAGGCACCACCAGAGTTAGAGAGCTCATTGACCTAGTTGTAGCTCAACAAGACAAGTATCGCTGGGCAACTTTTGTGAGGATTTAAGTTTATAAGTTCTAATGATATTCTCGTTGGGTGAATTGACAGGTCGTTGGGTGAATGTGCTTTCGGACACTACACATTGAGCGAGTAGAGATTCTCGTTGAGCGAAATTATCATAGTCTAACTAATTTTCATGTCTCTTATTGTATGTTTAATGTGTGATTTTGTTAATGTTAAAATGATTATTGGTTTATAATGTAATATGAGAACGGTTCGAACTAATCCAAGGAGGATTAGTGGTGGTTAAAATAATGTGTGTATTGATATATGGATTCTGTTTTGAGAGCTATCTTGTCGTTCTAATAACCATATAATCTCAACTAGAGATGGGTGGGGTATGTGGTGAGAGGAGCAGGTGGTCCTATTCTAGGGGTTTTACCTTGGCAAAAAATGTTAACGAACTAACCTTGCGTGTGGTATGGTGAAACCCATTGGCAATGGCGCAGAGGCCACTACAAGTACAAAACTCTCCAGGGTATGATATCAATACACGTATTCAGATTGTTGAGTCTAATATGAGTCTTTGTATGTGATATGTATGTTGTTAAGAATGATTTATATGTGATAATATCTCTATGCCTGTTTTTATTGATTACTCTTATTGCACATTAGTTTACCCTTTCTTGTGTGTTTATTTTGTCTATGTGATCTTTTTGTTTGCAATGATCACCCTAATAATATAAGCAAATAAAGATGTAGTAGTTGATCCAATGCAAAATGAGAATGGTGCAATCGTATAGTTTTAGGATACCTTATTATGTATAATCTTCTTCTGTTTGACAAACTCTTGTTCTGTTATAGCTATATGGCTATCTGTTTGCAGTACATATTTGTATGAATGACGGTAACATAATAGTTATAAGTTAGTCTTCCCTCCTTAATGCTTATTATATCTATATTGTTTTGTTTAGTAGTTGTACACTATTAAATGAGATCTTACATATATATTTACACTCTTTACTGTCTATCACTAATTATGTGATGATGTAATTAGTGGTATAATATATGCTAATTAGGGTTGTTACAATGATTTGATCCGGTTATTATTTTGTCATTTTCCATTGAAGGTAATACTTTCTCATATAAGCAAAAAATAATAATGGCCATGTTTAACAAATATAACCAAATTCTGATTATCTTAACCTCATCTAACGTTCTTATGTCAGATATACTTATTCTTGCACTTGAGCATCATTGAAATAAATATGACTGGGGATGATTTAGTTAAAGCGCCTCTTTATTTCATGCAGTGAAAAGTATTTGATGAACATAACTACTTTATTCATTAGTCTGAACTTACGTAATTTTGCTTTCATTTGAGTCCAGATATATAGTATTTTACAACTAATGTGAATTTTTATCACTTCTTTTGTTGTGGTTCTCATTTTAATTTGTATTTAGTCCTATTGTTTTTATCTCCAATTCTATGTTGTTGTCTATTTACTTTTAATTTTGATATAGGTGAAAGGACTTTTAATTATGGGAAATGCAGAGTCAAGTGATTCTCATGCTGATTTTCACCAGCGACCCCGGTACTCTGAAGGAAGTTCAGCAAATACTAGCTACCAATATCATCAACCCCCTTCCTTCGTTGGAAGTTCAGCAAGTGCTAGTCATCAATATCATGACCACCCTTCCTATGATGAAAGTTCAATGAATACTAGCTATCAATATCATCAACCGGTTCAACCCTCTTTATATGCTGGGAGTTTGGTGAATACCAAACATCAACATAAGCAGCGACCCACATATATACCTGACAATTTCAGTTCATTGGATCAGGTTTTCACTGCTACTTTTTGCTCATTGATTTAGGGGAAATAGTAATTATTAATCTTATCATTCCAAGGAAAACTGCTTTCTGGTATACTAGAGGATGAATCCTCAATCAGACTTGTAGGAAAATTTTAGTTTGTTTGATTATATAATTTCAAATCAACTTGTGTAAGAATTTGTTGATCAGTTGAACATCACTATTTTTTTAAAGTTTTCGAGTTATCTATATTATCTATATATGGACATACTAATAGTCATTGAATGTGTTACAACTTTTAAATATAAATTTATTGATAGCCTGCTTTAGTTTCAGAAGAAATATGAACTTTGAAGAAATGTGGGTCCATTTAAAAAGGTTCGCACTGCCTGAACGCACGCTTATAAAAGCTAACATATTGCTTTTAGGTCCATTTGATAAGAAAGAAACTAATTAACCAACTTGCTATTAACTCAGTGGTTTAGCTATGGAGACTGGAAACAATTATATGAGGATATTTAAGGACGCAACAAGATAAAATCAAATGGAATTTGTTAGTCTTGAAAAATGTTTAGGCCAACATTCTCTGGCAGAAAGATGTACCTCCCCTTACCGTGCTGTTTCGCGAGGATTTCCTAAAAAACTTAGCTTTTGCATGTTATATCTCAGGTTGTTTCCGCTTTGAGAGAAGCTGGTTTGGAGTCTTCGAATCTTATAATTGGTATTGACTTCACCAAAAGCAATGAGTGGACAGGTTATTTCTGTTGAACATAAAATTAATTGTATACGTACATATAACTGTGGAGAACGCTGAAAAGTCACACCGTGGTAATTGTAGGAAAATATTCTTTCAACCATAAAAGCCTTCATTATATTGGAAACACTCCTAATCCATATGAGCAAGCGATCTCTATTATTGGCCGTACTCTCTCTTCGTTTGATGAAGACAATCTGATCCCATGTTTTGGATTTGGTGATGGTGAGAAGCTGTTTCTGATTTACTTTTCGAAGAAATTTTATTTGTTCTCCTCTATTGATATTATTAGTATACTTTTGTAGCATATACACATGATCAGAATGTGTTCAGCTTTTATCCCGATGATCGCTATTGTCACGGTTTTGAGGAAGTACTTGCACGCTACCGAGAGATTGTGCCACACTTAAAATTGGCAGGTTTAATATTATTGTCCTTGCTGACCATTTTTGACAATTTTCTTTTACAAGTTTATATATCAAACATATTTAGGACCCTGCAGAATAACCCTACTATAGTGATTGTCTAGAAGCACCTGTATGATGATGATGGCAAGTCACCACTGTAAGAAAAATTATAAAATGTATACATGAAAATATGACGTAAAAACTTGTAGAAGACATGCTAGTTGATGTGCTGATCCAATGACCTAGAAAACTTGTGAAAGTAATGGGCTTTGTATGCAGTTTATAAGAAAGTGTTATCTGAATGTTGTGTGTCAAATGCAGATCAAGTGGTATGTTTATACCAATTTACGGAATTAAATACAACAAATTCTTGACTAAAAATCAGGAATAAATAATCCTAATTTTCTACAATCTGTAATTGCTAGTGGCTAATTACATTCTAACAGTCTCTCTCAAGTTAAAGTATATGTCATATATACTAAGTTTGTTACAAATGTACTTAACCCAAGGGCATATGAGGGACTTGGTGAACACGTCTACCAATTGGTTGATAGAATTGACAAAATCGGTTGTGTTTACTCTAAAGAGCACCTTTTCTCTAAAAAAGTGATCATTAATCTTTATGTGTTTGGTTCTTTCATGGAAGATTAGGTTTGATGTATTGTAAAGTGTAACAAATATGTCCACAATTTTTAGTTCTTGTAGTAGTTGCTTTAGCCATGTAAGCTCACAAGTGGTTGTTGTCGTAACATGATATTTTGCTTCTGCACTGGATCTAGAAACTATGTTATGTTTCTTGTTTTTCCATGAGATCTCTAATAGGAACACAATATCCAAAATTGAATCTTCTATAGGTGATCCTGTCCAAACCACATTAGAGTAACCATGTTAGTATTGCCTTTATCTTCATACTATAATCCTTGGCTCAAAGCATTTTTTATGTATTGAAAAATACGTGTCACATATATCAGTGTCTAACAGTTCATGCTCCCTAATGACAACTCTTGAAGGGCAAGTCTACGTATCATAAGAGACAAAATATTTTGTTAGACTTCTTTTTTATAAATGTTTCGTAATCCAAAAACATGTACAAAAGACGAACAAATAAGTTTTTAATATTGATAACTTTTGTAATACTTTTTCATTTATAATATTAGAGTTTTGAATAAATAAATTTATAATATTTTTCTCTCTTGAAACATCTTTTTTATCACTATCTGCAATGTAATAAAAAATGTTAATTAATAATATTGGAACACAAAATAATAAATATTAAATTAAATTAGGTGGGTTGGTGAGCCGGCTCACTACAGATTCAATCCGGTGAGTCGGGTTCTAAGTGAGCCGGATTGAAAACTAACCTGCATAAAAAAATTACATTTTTTTCAAACCCAACCCGGCTCAAATATGTGGTGAGCCGGGTTGATATATATATAT